TATTAATCTACAAGTCATTTCAATTTGGTTTAGATACTGGGTTTACTTTCACCATACCATTTATTCACTTTACATACTCACTTAGGAACTGAAAATTGACTACTTTTGTTAACAGGCAATTCCATCAATCTCCAGCAGCATGGCTGCCAGCTCAGGTATAAATGCTACAAACATGCTCAACTGAAAACAAATTTGGTTCTAAATTTAACAAACAGAGGCCAGGTGCGGTGGCTCACACCTATAATCCCAGCCAAGGTGGGTGGATCATTTGAGGTCAGGAGTTCGAGACCAGCCTGGCCAAACATGGTGAAACCCCATCTCTACTAAAAATACAAAAATTAGCCAGGTGTGGTGGTGGGTGCCCACAGTCCCAGCTACTCGGGAGGCTGAAACAGGACAATCGGTTGCATTGAGCCAAGATGGTGCCACTGCACTCCAGCCTGGGCGACAGAGCAAGACTCCGTCTCAAAAAGAAAAGAAAAGAAATATCTACACAATGTTGTCAACCTAAGACCAAAAAAAAAAAAATGTGTTAACAAGGTAGAAGACCTACAAGGCTGAAACATTCCATTTAGTCAGTTTTTCAACAATGACAAAATTCTTACTTTTCATCACAAAAGCATAACCTTTCCAACTCAGGTTTTATTTTTATTTTATTTTTGAGACAGGGTCTCTCTCTGTTACCCGGGCAGGAGTACAGCGGCACAATCACGGCTCACTGCACCCTTCACCTCCCAGGCTCAATTGATCCTCCCACCTCAGCCTCCCACTTATCTTGGACTACAGGTGAGCGCCACCCTGAGCAGCTAATGTTTTTATTTTTGTAGAGATTGAGGTCTCACTATCTTGCCCATGCTGGTCTCAAACTCCTGGGTTCAAGCAATCCTACTGCCTTGGTCTCCCAAAGTGCTGGGATTATAGGAGTGAGCTACTGCACTCACGTTTAATTTTAGAAGACTGAGGGTCTTTGATTTTCAACAATGATTTTTAATTTACCACATTATTTTTTAATAGACATCAGACAACTGAATGGTATTTATTACAACCCAAAGCAGGAACTTATGAAGTCACAATAAGATTAATCATCTTCAATTCAACAGGTTAATCATGACAGCAAGCTGAGAGATTTTTTGTCAACTTGTATTAGGACTATGTCAACAGTTGCCCAGTTAGAAATTAAATGATGCTTAAAACAACACATGTCTAGACTTTAGATTTCTGCTTGAGCAACACATACAAATACTGTGATATATGCATGCATGCACACTATGTGTATATATATTTACCTAGATTTTATTAATTATGATGGATGTTTGTTTGAAAAAAAAATCTTGGCTGGACACAGTGGCTCACGTCTATAATCCCAACACTTTGGGAGACTACGGCAGGACTGAGCCCAAGAGTTCGAGACTAGGTCTGGCAACACAGTGCAACTCATCTCTAAAAAAATTTTTTAATTCATCCTTTTGTAATTCATATGTGTGATGACTGGGTGTTTACATGCATGCGTGACATGTGCCAACCTTGAATCTTGTTATATAACACGTGCACATTACCCATCTGACATGAGAAAAAGGAAAAAAATTAAATAAAAAGTAAAAAAATAAAAAAATTAGCCAGTCATGGTGGCACGCATCTGTAGTCCCAGCTACTCAAGAGGGTGAGGTGGGAGGATTGCTCGAGTCTGGGAGGCTGTAGTGAGCCATGGTTGTGCCACTGCACTTCAGCCTGGGCGACAGAATAAGACCCTGTCTCAAAAAATAAAATACAAAACTGTCAAGATGAATTAGGTGAACACAGGAATCAAAAAATACAGTATTAGATTATGGCGCTATCTTTCATAAGAAAGAAAAAAATGAAAAGCCTTCCTGCTTTTAGTCATGATTTTTCATTTTATAATCAAAGAAAATAAAGAACACGCCTTATATAGCCAAAAAATAAGGTAATGTGACTTAAAGTTGAATTATCACTTAACTGCATGGATTTCTAAGAAGCTACTGACTTCCAACTTCTCAGTTTCTCTAAAGCCAGAACACTTTTTTTTTCTTTTCTTTCCCCCAGACAGAGTCTTATCCTGCCACCCAGGCTGGAGGGCAGTGGCATGATCATGGTTCACTGCAGCCTCGATCTCCTGGGCTCAGGTATCTTCCTACCTCAGGCTCCCAGGTAGCTGGGACTACAGGCATGCACCACGACACCTGGCCCAGAACACATTTTCTTAATAGCTCACTCTTTTGCTTATATATGTAACTTGTTTTTATACAGAAATAACATGTCATCAACATATATGCTACTCCATGGCTTTGACCTTGTTTTTCGTGTAAAAACTCAAATACAAGTTTTATAGTCCAACTATATATATGTGTGTATATATACACTTTTTTTTTTTTTTTTGAGACAGCATCTCACCACTCTGTCACCCAGTCTAGAGTGCAACGGTGCGATTTCAGCTCACTGCAGCCTCGACTTCCCAGGGTGATCCTCCCACCTCAGCCTCCCAAGTAGCTGGGACTACAGGCGCACACCATTATGTCCGGTTCATTTTGCTGTATTTTTTGTAAAGACAGGATCTCACTATGTCACCCAGGCTGGTCTCGAACTCCTAGACTCAAGTGATCCTCCTGCCTCAGCCAGCCTCCCAAAGTGCTGGGATTATAGGCGTGCAGCCTTTTAAGTTTTTTTTTCTTATCCACACTGGGCCTCACCTATTCACTTTCCACAACACCTAAGAAAAATCTTAGACGTTAAATACATACCTCAAACATATAAAATTCATTACACTGCTTTTGTAGCCATAATAATTATACTAATAAAGACTGACCCTAAAGAACTTAAAACTTATTAGGGCAGTGTTTAAATGGTCCAATTCACAAGGGGTTGGGAGAAATAATGATCCTCTCCTACCAAACTAGCAGCAACAATATGCCAAGTTTCCTATGCTGAACTAGTGTAAACAAGGAAGAAAAAGAGCCGGAGGTGGGAAGCAGTCAGGCAAGAGAACAACTCTCTTCAAGATATAACTTTACTTCTAAATTTCACCAGAGTAATAGCTCTTCTCAGTGTGTTCAATAACCCATGTCTCTCTGACTAAACACCTCAGGTTAGCTGTCAGAAAACTACAGTAGGCTATATTCCCTGCCTGAGATCATCAGATGTAACAGATACAAATGGAGATTACAAATGATTAATTCTAAAGGCTATCTCCTGCATCCAGTCAAAGAGTTTTCTAAACATCTAGAAATTTAAACCTGCTCTTGCTGTAATAATCGACCTTAAAGATAAAATAGTAAGACCCATCAAAGATGATGCACAGCGAAAAAAAAAAAAAAAAATTGGCTCACACACGTTCCCAGCACTTTGGGAGGCAAAGGCAGGTGGGTCACCTGAGGTCAGTTCAAGATCTGCCTAACCAATATGGTGAAACCCCATCTCTACTAAAAATACAAAAAAATTAGCCAGGCGAGGTGGTGTGCGCCTGTAGTCCCAGCTGCTGGGGAGGCTGAGACAGAAGAATTGCTTGAACCTGGGAAGCAGAGGTTGCAGTGAATCGAGGTTGTGTCACCGCACTCCAGCCTGAGCGACAGAGTGAGACTCCGTCTAAAAAAAAAAAAAAAAAAAATTTACACATCACCTTTGGTGCAGCCATGGCTACAAGGCTCCTACTAACAGATGAGCATCATCCAGGGTAGGACTAGGTTAGGAGTGGGATAAAAAGTAGGTTTACAGCCTCTTTTCCATCATTGCTCGAGGCATTCAGGGGACAAGGAATAAAAGAGAGGTTGGTTGTGCAAGTGATGCCAAAAGAAACAAGATTCCACATGTCAGGAGACTGAATGCCCAACAGAGCAAAGGGCACTGAACCTTTTGCCTTTTGCCCAAAGACATATTAGTTGTTTCACCTGAAATCCTTTCAAAGAAAGTCTAATCGTCTCCGCTCCAACTCTGCCTCTGAGTGCATCCAACAACCTCTATTCAGAGTACAAGGGGAAGCCTTGCCTATCAACAACAGCAAGTGCTACTTCCAAAGCCAGGAAACACTCCTTTACGTCGGATAGTCTTCTGCCCCAATTCAGTCTTCTACAAGGTGAACACAAAAACACTTGGCTCCCAGCCTAAGTTCTCCATTTTCCCAAACATCTGTCAACTTAGTTTTCTTTCAGATAAGCCCCTCTCCATTCCCAGCATTCTGGTGGCCCCAGATGAACCCTCTGCCAGGAGTCCTGTCCCTTCAGAAAGTTCCTTCCCCCAAGATCATCTCATTTCCCCCACTTTTCCTAAGGTGCTTCCCAGGCCCTGTCCCAAGTCTAACACTCCCGGTCCTCCATGTGTCGATTTACTAGTAGATCCTACTCCTCCCTGGCATAACTCTTAAGAAAGTCATCTTCCTCACCATACCCTTTATCTTCCCTCATAATATCACCCCCTTTTCCCTATCTATCCTCAAATGGAAAGTGACAGACACACAAATTAATCTGTTCTCAGGTCCTAACTCCCAAGCCTCTCCAGTGCTCAGGTTGCTCCACAGCACCTAATCCTTCCCTATAGTTTCCGCCCAATCCTGGCATCCTCAGCCCCTCACTCCAAACCCTAACCTTTTTCCCCACTCCCCAAATCCAGATCTCCTGTACTTTTTACTCTCAGCCAATACCATAACCCTTTTCCTCCCAAGTCTATCCACTATGCCTGAATGCCTAAGTCTTTTCCTCTCATCCCACGTCCTTTGGCCCTTGGCCCCTAATCCTCGAAAAACCTTAGGAGCTGCCCACATCATCTCCCTTCCGCCCCTTCTGCCTCCGTGGCCCCTAACTCTCCTCTAGCCCTGCTCAGCCCTCAAATTCTTCCTATGCCCCCGGTGCTCCCCCACTTGTCCTACCCGTCCCGGGAAGGGGGTGGCTCTCAGTACCCGCCTGGCTCGCCCTGCCGCCGAGCTCGAGAGTCCCTTCCCTTCCCCTAGGGGCCCCGAGGCCGCTGCCAGCGCTGGCACGGCGGGGCCGGCTCACCAGTTGGTCATGTCCAGGAAGAAGGCGCAACCGGCAGGATTGAGCTGGAAGCCGAGCAGCCTCTGGAACTCGGAGATGAGCACGTCCTTGTCGGTAGTGCCCAGGCAGCTGAACTTCTGCATCAGCTCCGGGTCCAGGTCCACGTCCATGCCCTCCATGGCGGGGCCCGGACACCCGCTTCCCCGCCTCCTCACAACCGAGCCGCCGCCGCGCCGCCGGGCCCGGGGACCGGGAGGGGGCCCGCTGCTAGCTAGCGTCGTGACCCCGCTCCTTTGAGGTAGGCCCCGGGCCTCTCACAGTCTCATAGGGGTAAACTCACTCTGCCACTCACTCACTCTCCCCCCCCTCCCACCCCCCCCAGCTCCGCCGCCTCCGCCGCCTCCGCCGCCTCTCGCCTCTCGCCACTCCGCCGCCTCCGCCTCCTCCCGCGCCGCGCCCACTGCGCAAGCGTCGCCAGCCTAGGCCCCGCCCCTTCCTCTCCCGGAGGCCCGCCCCTTAGTGTCGTCACAAACTCGTGACGTCCCCGCGTGACCTCACCGGGGCGGGGCGAGGGGGAGAAAAGTAGGAAGGAGGAGAGAGATGGTCCAGCCGTGTGAGGGAGTTTCTGTCCAGACCATTACTCCGCCCCGTCCCCACCTTCAAGGAGAGCTGTTAAAGCCTGGGGCTGCGGGAGAAGTTCAGGGATTTTCGTTTATGACAACTCTACCATTTTGCAGGTGAGAAAACTGAAGTCACGGGAGAGGGAGACAGTGGCAAGGTCAAGTAGCAAAGTGCACTCAGGACTCAGCCCTCCCAGCCAGGAGTCTGCCACTCACGCTTGAAGGACGTGTTTGAAGAGCCGCTTTCCCAGAGGGATGCTGCCTTAAAGCCTTGGTTCCCGGGCACTCTTTGCTATTACTACCGTTTATCGGTTCTGTTTGTGTTATGCAGCGGTAGCATCGTGTCTCCGGAAAATAAAAAAGGTCTCGATACAAACATCCATCACAGGTCTAAAAGAACACCACACATAACCTTCCACCCACTCTGTCAGGAACAACCCTATCAAAATAAAGTCATGAGAATTTAGCATGCCTTGTTCTGTATTTAAAATAGAAGACAAAGTATTTCTGTATATACTGTACACCTTCCCGGTCAAGGTCTGTCAAAGAATGAGAAAGGAAGTAAAGAGACTGTCTTGTCTGCCCTCTTCTGTTAGGAAATGTTTTTGAAACACCGCGAATTGCCCAGCACTGCTAGATCCAAGGCGGGGAGGGGTGGGGGGGATGAGTGAGAAATGGTCTTCTGCCTTCAAGTAGCCCCCTATTTTACAAATAAGGGAAGTAAGCTTACGTGCGTTGTCCAGAAATACAGAGCAGCAAAACTAGAACCCAGATTTCTGGTTCCTTATGAAGTGTGTTTCCACAATTTCAAAAACAGCTGGAATAAGTAGTAATGTGTCGGGGGCCAGGATGTTTTGGAAAGGGAACGCATTCCTCTGTCCCACTACCAAAAGAGAGTAAACTACAGTGGCTTTTTAAGGTTCTGGAGCCATGCATATTTGGGACTCAGAGATAAACATGTTTTGTCCTAATCTTTTGGATGGTGCAATAGAGACAGAACGATTATAAAAATCTCAATAACTGAAAGGAACTGACACTGTCGAGTCCAGCCTCCCCATTCTACAGATGAAGACATTGAAATGGATAGAGGGGAAATGATTCACCCAAGATTACACAGCTGGAAAGGGGGTTCCAAACTCCCAGTTTAGCACTCCATTCACTATACTCTGCTACATTCCCTTTCTACATTAAGTTCAATTGGGACCTTACACCAAAATTAAAAAGTTGACCCGAGAACTAATTTGATGTTAGGACCATAGACTTCTAGAAAGTGTTTTAACTTGCAGTATCCATGGATGAAAATTGTGTTGACCAAGGATCCAAAAGACGATATTATTGGAACCTGGTGACTCCATTAGAATGCTGATTTAGGGAAAAATTCAAAACTCTCGGTCAGTCGCATACAGTACTAAGGTCTTAACCCACATCTAAAAGCTCTACATAATTCAAATTTCTTTTTTTTTTTTTCCAGACAAGATCTTGTTGTGTTGCCCAGGCTGGAGTGCAATGGCAGGATCACGGCTCACTACAGCCTTGAACTCCTGGGATCAAGTAATCCTCCCACCTCAGCTCCCCCAGGAAATTGGAACTGCAAGTGGGCGCCACTATGACAGGCTAGTGTTGTTTTTTCAACCTTCTGTAGAGACAGGGTCTCACTGTGTTGCCCTGGCTGATCTCAAACTTCTGGGCTTGAGGGATCATCCTCCCTTGGCCTCCCTAAGTGTTGGGATTGCAGGCGTGAGCCACTGTGCCCTAATATTTTTATGTAATAAATAAAAAGCTATTAAGATCAATGAGGAGGTGGGAGGATAGCTTATGTCCAGGAATTCGAGACCAGCCTGAGCAACATGGTGAGACCACCACACCACAAAAAATTTAAAAATTAATCCTGCATGGTATTGCTCACCCATGGTCCCAGCTACATGGGAGACTGAGGAGGGAGGATCATTTGAGCCCAGGAAGTTGAGGCTGCAGTGAGCCATGTTCCTGCCACTGCACTCCAGCCTGGGTGACAGGAGATGCTATCTCAAAAAAATTTTTAAAGTTACATATAAAAATAAAAAGATCAATAAGGAGTCCAAGTTGGGAGGAGCACTTGAGGCCAAGAGTTTGAGATCAGCCTGGGCAGGCAGTGTAGCAAGACCCCATCTCTACCAAAAATTTTTAAAAATAGTTGGGTTAACTGGTACGCACTTGTAGTTCCACCTGCTCCAGGTAGTTGAGGCAGGAAGATAGCCTGCGCCTAGGAGTTTGAGGCTGCAGTGAGCTGTGATTGTGCCACTGCACTGGAGCCTAGGCACCTGAGCAAGACTGAGTCTTCCTTTTTTTTTTTTTTTTTGAGGCAGAGTCTTGCTCTGTTGCCCAGGTTGGAGTGCAGTGGTGAGATCTCGGCTTGTTGCAACCTCTGCCTCCCAGGTTCAAGCAATTATCCTGCCTCAGCCTTGCAGGTAGCAGAGACCACAGGTGTGCACTACCATGCCCGGCTAATTTTTGTATTTTTTGGTAGTGACGGATTTTCACCGATGTCGGCCAGGCTGGTCTGAAACTCCTGATTTCAGGTGATCTGCTGTCAGCCTCCCAAAGTGCTGGGATTACAGGCATGAGTCACCTTGCCCAGCCAAGACTGTGTCTTAAAAATATATATATTAAAGGCTGGAAAATGAATGAAAATATTTTAAACTCCATGAATAAGAAATGCAAATTAAAACAAAGATATATCATTCTTACATATTTTTACATTTTTACATAAACAAGGTTTTTTAGTATAAATATATCCTATACATTAACTTGTGTCCTCTATTTTTATTTGCTAATTCTGGCAACCCAAACTTTGGGGAATGTTTACTTTTATGTTAAGTTTCTATACTGCTTGAATGTTTACAGTGAGTATATATTAACTTGGTAGTTATTTTTTATTTTTTTATTTGTATTTTTTGTCCCCATGAAAGCAGACTGTTTTATTTTTAAAAAAGGATAAAATTTTCAATGATTTTCTTTAAATGTTATTGGTGAGGTCAAATTATATCGCTATTGGTCAAGCATGGTGGTTTATGCCTGTAATCCCAGCACTTTGGGAGGTTGAGGTGGATGAATCACATGAGGTCAAGAGTTCGAGACCAGCCTGGCCAACATGGTGAAACCCCATCTCTACTAAAAAATGCAAAAAAAATTGGCCAGGCGTGGTGGCTCACGCCTGTAATTCCAGTACTTTGGGAGACCAAGGCGGGCAGATCACTTGAGGTCAGGAGTTCAAGACCAGCCTGACCAACATGGAGAAACTCCGTTTCAACTAAAAATACAAAATTAGCCCGGCATGGTGGTGCATGCCTGTAATCCCAGCTACTCTGGAGGCTGAGGCAGGAGAATCACTTGAACCTGGGAGGCAGAGGTTGCAGTGAGCTGAGATCATGCCATTGCACTCCAGCCTGGGCAACAAGAGCAAAACTTGCTCTCAAAAAAAAAGAAAAAAAATTAGTCAGACGTGGTGGTGGGTGCCTGAAATCCCAGCTACTCAGGAGGCTGAGGCAGGAGAATCATTGCTTGAACCCGAAAGGCAGAAGTCGCAGTGAGCCAAGATCTCGCCATTGCACTCCAGCCTGGACGACAGAGCGAGACTGTCTCAAAAAATAGTAAGTATTATTATTTTTATTTATTTATTTTGAGACAGTCTTGCTCTGTCGCCCAGGCTGGAGTGCAGTGGCCCGATCTCGGCTCACTGCAACCTCCACCTCCCGGGTTCAAGCGATTCTCCTGCCTCAGGCTCCCGAGTAGCTGGGACTACAGGCGCCTGCTACGACGCCCAGCTAATTTTTTTGTATTTTTGATAGAGACAGAGTTTCACCATCTCTGGTCTCTAACTCCTGACCTCAGGTGATCCACCCGCTTCGTCCTCCCAAAGTGCTAGGATTACAGACATGAGCTACCAGGCCCACCTTTAATTATTATTTACTATTACTTTATTTTTTATTTTTTTCTGAGACAGAGTCTCGTTCTGTTGCCAAGGCTGGAGTGCAGTGTCACAAGATCTGTGCTCACTGCAACTTGCAACCTCCGCCTCCCAGGTTCAAGCAATTCTCCTGCCTCACTCAGTCTCCTGAGTAGCTGGGATTACAGGCATTAGCCACCATGCCTAGCTAATCTTTTTATATTTTTTGTAGAGACGGGTTTCGCCATGTTGGCCAGGCTGGTCTCAAATTCCTGATCTCAAGTGATTCGCCCGCCTTGGCCTCCCAAAGTGCTGGGATTACAGGCATGAGCTTCTGTGCCCAGCTTTCCTCCCCTTGCTTGTTTGCTTGCTTGCTTGCTTCCTTCCTTCCTTCCTTCCTTCCCTCCCTCCCTCCCTGCTTCCTTCCTTCATTCCTTCCTTCCCTCCCTCCTTCCCTCTTTCCCTGCCTCCATCCTTCCTTCCTTCCCTCTCTCTCTCTTCTCTCTCTCTCTCTTTTTCTCTCTCTCTCTCTTTTTTTCTTTTTTTATTTTTTTGAGACGGAGTCTCGCTCTGTCACCCAGGCTAGAGTGCAGTGGCCGGATCTCAGCTCACTGCAAGCTCCGCCTCCCGGGTTTTACGCCATTCTCCTGCCTCAGCCGCCCGAGTAGCTGGGACTACAGGCGCCCGCCACCACGCCCAGCTAGTTTTTTTGTATTTTTTTTTTTTTTTTAGTAGAGACGGGGTTTCACCGTGTTAGCCAGGATGGTCTCAATCCCCTTACCTCGTGATCCGCCCGTCTCGGCCTCCCAAAGTGCTGGGATTACAGGCTTGAGCCACCACGCCCGGCCTCTTTTTTTCTTTCTTTTCTTTCATCTAGCTCTGTTGCC